ACTGATTTTGTCAATTCGCCTGCTGCCTTCCATTTTTCCATTACTCGTTCACCTAAGCCCATATTTTGCTTCTGGAAGGTCACAACGGCTAGAGATTTGGAGGCTACTGTTCGCTACATCTTGTCGCTGACAAGATAACGGAATCCTGACCAAAGGCATCCCCACAGAGAGCCCTGAAATACTGAGAGCCCGTGTTGGGAAATATTAGGTTTTTGTTCTTCCATTTGTAGTGTGTTGTTTGACCATCGATTTCAATGAGGTCCACCATGTGCTAAAGAGCAGAGACGGCGATAGGAGCTAAGTACAAGATTAAAGTGAAATAGACACGAAAATGTCTGCCTCACTCTAACCATCCTCCGCTTAACTCGGTGACAAGACCGATGTCAAGATGAACAAACAGGATTCGGGCGGAAGGCGCTTTTACCAATGCAGCCAGAAACACCGCCTTAGTCTTTAGTAACTGTAGACTTTGCGCGGGTTCTACCGCAACATTTACCCTTACTCACATATAGCAAGTGTCTAGCCAGACTCTAGGAAGCCAGAGCTGGTACTGCTACTACCGCGGCTACTATTTATAATGCTACTAACTCAGGTGTAGCTGAGTTATAGTATTTGCCGGTACTATTACAAACTGTATTGAAAGGCAGAAGTGACGCTGATTAAAGTCAGCAACGGACTCATATCCCCTCAATGTCAACAAAAAGTGTATTAGTACTGGTGCTACCATTAGTCAGAGGTGACGCTGATTAAGTCAATGCTAGGGCTCATACCCTCTTGATCTCAACAAGGAGTGTGAATCTGGATTTCACCTATCCGAGTAAGTACAAGTTTGGGACCCTGAGCACAGCAGAGCTTGCCTATGTTTCCACCCTCTGAACTCTATCCATCAGGCTGTAGCCGTTTCCACTCGGTTCGGACTGCGATACTGCTGCTAGCACAGCTTATGCTAAAGTGCTAATTCTAGTTATCATGTTTACTAAGGCCAGTAAATAGTGTACTTTAGTACGGCCTGTGTGTGCTTTTTAAAGAGTCGCGCCTAGTATGTACTCCCAATCTGTGTGAATTAAAGTGATTAGATCATAATAAATCATAATGGAGCATGATCATAATGGATCATAATAGACCGTTTTTAAATAATGCACAAGTCCTACCATGCCCTTATGTCGTGCAGTTTGCCGTCTATAGACCAACACTTAGGCCTTCTACAGTATCTATCTGTAACTTGAATTTAACAGAAGTGTGAAACTTAAATTATGCTACTTTCAGTAAGTACATGTTTGAAACACAGAGCACAACAGGACTTTCTTTGGTTTTCGTCCACTCAGCTCTGTCCACGAGGCCGTAGCATTTTTCGCACAGTTTGAACTGCGAAGACTAGAATACTGCTGCCAGTAGTGGTGTACCTTTACTAAGGTTGTTAACTATAGCGATCATTTGCCCTAAGACCAACAAATGGTGTGCTGTAGTACGGCCTGTGTATCCGGCGCCCAGTATCCAGTATAAGGTAAATAATCATAAGCTTCTGAATTTAAAGCACGATATTTAAACGGTGGCTCAAGTTTTTGCAATGAATTTGTGTCGCAAAGTACTGCCAGTTGCTGTCCGTAGGCTAACTGCAGGCATAGTACAGTATCTGTCCTACGAAGTACAACAAAAAGTCAAGGGTACCGTCTTTCCTCATGATTTGGACGACCGGGACGGCCAAGAGAAATTTAGCCAGCGCAATAGCCTTTCTATCGATCATGTCGTCTAACCTCGTTTTTCTTTGCTGTTCAGCGATGATACCCATGTAAGCATTAAGGAAGTCAAGTTAAGCGAACG